CCAATGAGAGGCCTTTGCTGATGAGCAGTGGTCCAGAACACCTGTCCACAGGTGCAGAAGTCTGACTGAGAGCTACAGAAACACCTGATGGCAGTGATTGGCTCAGAGGGTTGTTCAGCTACATGTTAGTCCACCAGGTCCCATCAGGCGGGTTTTTTCTTCAATATTTCTGTTGAACCACGATTGAAAACCAGCGTCATGATGTTCATTAGATGTTTATTGATTATTACTTTTGTCAGTTCCAGCTTCTCTCAGTGACTGAAGCTGTTTTCCGTCTTTAATGGGAGGACCTGAACACATCTGATGTCTGCCTTTGAGCTGCTTCCACCTGAACGAAGCCTCAGCATCAACACAAAGAAGTGTTCAGTGGAGCAGTGCTGGTGTTTCAGTGTCCACCAGGGTTTGCACAAACAGCAAAGTGTTCAGATGAAATCATTTACTGCGATTCGACCAGAGAAAACCAGACCAGCTGATTGGTGGCAGAGAGTCCACCTGCAGCCCGGTCGACCCGAACCAGTCCCACGTCAACGGAAACAGCTCGTATCTGTTTCTGCTCATCTGGCATCCGTTTGTTTTTACACAGTTGTGTGTCTTTTTGTGACTTTCTTTTGTGGTAATTGTGCATCCTTTTGAGGTCATTTTCAGGAGTTTTGGTGGTTTTGGTTCTGGTTTAGTTGTTTTAGTGTTCTGTTGGGGTTTGTGTCTTTTTGATTTTCCATCTTGTGGTGATTTTGCTTGTTTCTGTTCCTGTCGACCACTTCAGCCTTTTCTTATATTTACTCAGGACGCTGAATGCTGAACGTGGTTCTGGTTGAGTCTCTGAGCTGATCAGTGATCCTCCCGACCAGGTGTATAGTGACATACAGCTGAGTCAGTGGTTACGGGTCAGATTGAGTGATTACAGCTGCATCAGTGGTACAAACGGTCCCGGTCGTGTTCCACTCTGGTACCACCCATCTGCTGTCCTGGTTATGGGCAAGTTTAACCCTGACTCTGGTCTGTTTTCTCCTGCCAGCCTCCACCAGGTCCACGTCTCTGTCAGAGACGCCCCGAGACCGAGACCGAGATCGAGACCGGGACCGAGACCGAGACCGAGACCGGGACCGGGACCGGGACCGAAGGTACGACAGCAGAAGAAACCCACCTGCCTCTGTTGTCCAGCTCCTCCTCTCTGATTGGTCGAGGCCTCTGGAGTCACAGCTGCTCAGGACACGGTTCAGCTTCACCTGTTCACTCTGGGCTCCCGGCTTCAGCCTCTGGCTCCGTTTTTTCTCACTGTGGGCTCTTTGTTCACTGGAGTGAAGCTCCAGCTCTGTGAGACGTTGATCTCCTTCCTGTTGTTTTGTGTCCCGTTCTTGTTGTTTACTGAGTCTTTGGACGGTTGTGTGTCTTCGTAGTAACTTCACGGCTCCTTCTTGTCATTTTCAGACTCATTTTGGAACTTTTGTGCCTTGATTAGGCCATTTTATATATAAGTTTTGTTGTTTTTTGTTTCATTGGTGTCGCTGTGCGTCTCTTTCTGTTTTCACGCTTCTGGCTGGTAACTGGTGTGATTCTGGAACCTCCTGCTGTCCTCACATCCAGATTTTCTGTGTACACCAACCCGTGTTGTTGTGTTGCGTTGCCAGGCGACCAGAGATCACCATCCTATCTGCAGAGCCGCTGGCCTCCACTTCCTGGTTCCCCGGAGCTGCTGGGGGATTCCCTCCTCCCCCTCCTCCTGCTGCACAGATCTGGGGACCCACCATCCCTCCGTCCATACAGGTGAGCAGCTCAGGTAACAGAGGGGTCAGAAGGCCACCTCCTCAGAACCAGCTGGTTCTGTATCTGCAGAACCTAATGAAGCAGAGTTCTGCCTTGGTGCTGTGAACACGTCTGAGCTCCTGAATCGCTGTTTCTTTCAGCCTCCTCCGTCCTATGACGAGGTGATCAGGGAGAAGTCTCAGGAGCAGGGTCTCCTCCCTTCTTCCTCTCCCTCCTCTTCATCTCCGTCTCGTCCAGTTCCTACGACGACCATCGCCACGCAGACCGACTCGGGATCATCAGCTGCTCACGAGTTTCCAGGTGGGACTCAGGTTCAGTCACTTATCTGCACGTTGTAGAGTTTTCTAACTAACAGTGAATCCTGTCTGCAGCGACGACACCGGTCAGACCTCCCAGACCGCCCCTCCCCCAGCCGCCAAAACCAGCTCACGCTGATGACATCACCGCCCCTGCCAGCCAATCAGAGCTGAGCTCCGCTGACCTTGACGTCGTGGACCTTCTGTCTGAACTCAGTTCCCCTCTGACCTCATCGTCTGCCGCTCAGACCGACCAATGGGATCATCCCGCTGCCTCCTCTCACGTGTCCGAGCGCCCGAGACCCCGCCCACGCTCTAAGCTCGGCCTCCAGCCAATCGGCAGCGAGGTAAAGGTCCAGACTCTGGTGAAGCTGCGTGAGGACGGTTTGGCCACGTTAGCGTCTCGCGCTTTGACTGACGGCTCCAACCCAGACGTGAGCCAAGGAAAATACCTGCAGGAGCTGCTGGACGCCTTCAGCTCCGACGACTGGGGCTTCCCGGACCGCCGCAGCGACAGCAGCAGCCTCGGCCAATCGGAGAGCGAGGAGGAGGAGGAGGAGGAGGAGGACATGGCGACGCTGAAGGCGAGGATCCGGGCGTTCGAGCAGCAGCAGGCGGCTGAAGGCAGCTGTGGCGACGCTTCGGCGATCGACGGCTTCGCGGTCGCTAAGAGACCAGAGCCTCGACCCCGCCCTCGTCTCCAGGGGCAACCGGCCAAACCCGGCCCGCCCGCCATCGCTCCCAAACCCAAACACTGCCCACATGGTCCAAAACCCTCCAGCAAGGTGTTCTGGGAGGACGGAGGTCCAACAGCAGAACCAGGCGGAGACATGGATTTCACCTCCAGACCTCAGACTGCTGCAGAACCCAAACCAGCTCCGGGTTCAGAACCTCTGTCCTGCAGAACCACCGACAAACCCTCCGTCAGCCCAAAACCCCCGTCGCTGACTGAGTGCCCCCCACCTGCCCCGGCTCCTGCCCTGGTTCCCGCCCCGGTTCCTGCCCCGAGGCCTCCTCCACCCAAACTGTCCTCGCTGGGTGACAGAGTCCCTCCCAGACCGCCGGTGGCTCCCCGGGCCAGCGTGGCGGCTCCACACCCAGAGAGGAGCGCCGCAGACGGACACGCCGCCCCCACCCTGCCCCCCAGAGCCTCCGTGGAGGTCAGAGGTGGAGCGCAGGGCGAAACGCCGGCTGGAACCGAAGCCACGCAGAACTCTGCAAACCAAAGCGGTGAGTCTGTGGTTCTGGTGACCATCTCTGAGTTCTGCAGGTGTTTGTGGAGCTTGATGTGTGAAATACTTATGTTTAAAAACAACGTCGACCCACTTTCAACAGGTTTTCTCTCACATTGAGCCGTCAGTCTGTTTGAGCAACAACATCTGAGGAACCATTAAAGATAAAACCTGAAAGTTTCTGATCATGTCACTGATCCAGAACCGGTCATGTTGGACAGCAGATCAATAGTCTGGTTATGGATGAGCTGAAATACAAGAACAGTGATGAAATGTTCCGTCTGTGAGCTCATTAACAAACTGATAAGTGACCTCGTGATGTTTTCTGAACCGCGTGTAGCTGCAGCTCAACATAGAATACTTTAATATGAAACTCTGGGTCACAGAAACCCAGAAACCACCGAGCAGGTCCGACAAGTTGCATCAAAAAAACATAAATACTGGGAGAAGTGTGATCCAAGTAGAGTTCTGGAGCTTGAAGTGGTTCTCTGAATATAACTGTTACTGTTTTGGTATGAAGTGTGTGACGTGTTTGGAGCCACTGTGTGGGCGTTGAGCTCCAAGAAGCCGTACAGCAGAAGATTTTCCTTTATTTAACCAGCTAGGTTAATTGAGAACAGATTCTCAAGATCTGATTGGATGCTGACAGGAGCGACGTCTCCATCAGTGCCGACGTCCTGCTGCTGTTTCAGAGTTCAGCTGCTTCCTGCTGATGCTCTACCAGAGAACGTTCAGTCTGACTGTGAAGCTGTGACTCACAGCAGGTTCTCAGTATCTGCAGTGATCTCCTCCGTCCGACTGCAATGAGCCGGTTTACACCTCAACATGCTGAGCTGCAGCCTCCTGCTGCTTCAACCCAGCAGCTCTTACAGCAGATCGGCTGATTTTACATGAAACCAGCCTTTAACGTTCACGTTTTCTTCTGATTTGTTCCAGTGAAAGCCGTCGGCGGCCGTCCCTGCGTCCCGACCAAACCAGCCTCCCTGAACGCAGCTCGCAGATCCAGCGGTAAGACAAAGACGGAGCGCTGGGCGCCGCAGCACAAAGCAGCATTTGTCAGCTCGCTCACATCGAGCTGGTCTGTTGTGTGCCACAAATATGCAAACATGTGAAGAGCTTCCAGTGTTTGTATGTGACGGCAGCAGCGCTGTTCAGTCCTGGAAAGAAGAAGCAGCGACTGTGTGCACAGAAAAGCCTCCAGTGTTGCTGAGTGATGTTTTAAACCAGGAACTAAAGCAGCAGCTGGGTCTTGGTTTTCTTCTGGTTCTTCTGGGTCACAGCTTCCACTCTGGGTTGGGTTTCAGCCGCAGGTCATTCAGCAGAACATAGAGGCTCTCTGCAGTACCACACCCGGTCCACTCTGGCTAACGCTGTTAGCGTTTTAGCGTCGGCTCAGGCCTTTTGGCTGATACACGTGTAATTTAGTTATTCTGACCCGGCTGGAGGTCCAACACTGATCACTGTTGTTTCATCTGTTCTCCTCCTTTAGCTCCTAACCTGGCTCCAAAACCCACCGGACCCTCACCAGCACCTCCGGATCAGAACCCAGTCCAGGTCAAACCGTCTGGTGCCGCCCTGGTTACAGCCCCAAAACCTCCAGGACCGGCCAAACCCCCGACCCCGACCCAGACACAGACACAGACACCAACCCAGAGCCAGACCCCGACCCAGAGTCAGACCCCTACACCAACACTGGGTCCAGCTCCAGCCCAGAGGAAGGTCCAGACCAGAGCGGACAGCAGCAGCGGTCCAGACCCGGAGCCTCGTCTTCCTCCACGGTGAGAATCAGAACCGACCTGCTGCTCAGTGAATCCAGCGTTTTATTTCCTGGAGAACAAACTGAAGCTGAAGGTTCTGTTATGAGACAACCTGAGATGTTAGAGGAAGTGGTGACGTCACCTGATTGATCAGCTGGTTGATCACCTGACTGATCACCTGACTGATCACCTGACTGATCAGCTGACTGATCAGCTGACTGATCTGCTGATTGATCACCTGTTTGATCACCTGGTTGATCAGCTGATTGATCACCTGTTTGATCACCTGGTTGATCAGCTGATTGATCACCTGATTGATCAGCTGATTGATCACCTGATTGATCACCTGTTTGATCACCTAATTGATCACCTGACTCTCTGTCTCCAGCCCCTCCAGTGTGAAGCTCCTCCCCCTCCGCCCTCCACCAATCAAATCCATCCCTAGCAGACCGCCTCCTCCAACTGTCAGCTCAGCTTCATCCTCCAATCAGATCTCTACTCCTTCCAAAGCTGCACCTGCCCCCTGCGTCTCTCCAGCCAGTCAGCTTCCACCACCTCACACCGCCCCGCCCCCTTCTCCTGAAACAGCCAGTCAGATCCAGCGGGCCCCAAAGAAAGGACCGCCTCTACCGCCACGCCCCAAACCTGGACACCCCCTCTTCAACAGCTACATGGTATGACCCGATGTACCTCAGTTACTACACCCTGAATACTACTTCCTGTACGAGTCCTCGCGTCAGAGGACGCACTCGTCCAGACGTGTTCTGGTCGATGCTAGCTTGGGTTTAACTTGATGTTTTCTCTCAGAAGCAGGAGGTTCTGATTGTCCTGGATGATCCGAGTCCCTCTGAGCCCCAGAGCATCTCCTCCCCTGTGATCAGCCCACCTCAGTGTCTCCTGGACCTGGACCCTCAGTCAGAGCCAGTTCTGGACCAGGACCAGTCCAAACCTGCCTTAGAGGGCCTGCTGGACTCTCCGGTACTTGAATCTGGTGTAAACGTGGCCGATAGCGTTCTGATGTTCACGCGTTTAGTCCTGAGACAAACCAACTGTGACGGTCTTTGAAATCCAGTATGAGCTTGAACGGGTTCAACCAGAACCAGCCTCATAGCATGTGACCTGTTTCTGTTGTTTTGTGTCACATTTGTCATTCATCATGTGTAGTTTCTGTCAGTTGGTGTCCTGTTTCTGTGAATCTTGTTTCATTTGTTTGTGAGTCTAGAAGTGGACTGTTGTTACGCTGACGATGTTCTGTTCTATCCTCCAGTCCATTCTGCCGGCCGAGCAGAAAGAGCTGCCAGAACCTGCTGCTGTCAGGTCAGTA